TGCAAAGGTTGGATTATTCATGAATAATGAAAAGGTGGGACTATTGTAAAAAGACCGCTAAAAGGTTGAATTATTAGTTTCCATTTTCTCTTTATTAAATTATTAATTTGGTTGATTTCATTTAAAGTTTGTCTGCTGCTACGCTTGAAAACCCAAATAGCGAAATAGCCGACCAAGTAAACAAAGTGGAATAGCTAAACATGTTGAAGATATGAGAAGGGCATTATTGACCAATAGAAAGAACGTAAATATTTATCCTTTTTATCTAGCTTCTAAGATTCTAATCTTTTTCAGTTATTTAAATTGCCGATTCCGTTTTATTTCTACATATATACTCCCTCCGTTCTTTTTTAGTTGCAACACTTTCCTTTTTGGGAAGTTTTAAAATAATTGCAACCCTTCTATGTTAAGACATAAAAGTGTATGCAATTGTCTTTAATACCCTCAATAATACACACTCACCACCTCTCTCTTATCTGATCCGTTCCTTTCTTTTAATTCCACTCACTCCTTTTATCTCTTTATTATCCACCCATCGTTCCTTTCTTTGACCGGCAACCCTTGCAGCGGCGGTCCTGGAGAGCAGCTTGCAGCGGTCCAGACAACGGTGGCCCAAATCCACATCATCCGGTGACGACGATAACTCGATCCATCCGGCGTTTGTTCCCCCTCGGTGCAGTGGCTCCGGCACGTACACTCTCTTCCGGCGATACGACAGAACCTCCAACAGATCTCCAATCCCTTTCTGTATTTCTTCAGCCAAGAATGGAGGCTGAACGTTCAACAACAATTATAGAAGGGTGGAGGCTTGAGGAATGAAGATGAAGCTCTCTAATTAGCTCTCTGGCCAGATCGGTTTAAAGAGAAAGAGACAAGAGGCTGAACCTTCAACAATTAGCTCTCTATCCAGCAAGAATGGAGGTTGAACGTTCAACATCATTTAGCTCGCCGGCATGTAGACAGTACACTCTCTTCCGGCGAGACAAACCATCTTTTGCACTGTAGCTGTTTGTACTCTTGTACTTTTTGTAAAACATTTGCTTTGTGAAGTGTAAGATTTTTATGAGGTCTTCAAAACTTCATTTCTAATTGCAAAAGGGTATAAAGGGGAAAATCATTACTTTATCCCTATTTCTTAATTTGTGTGCCTTGAAGGTATGTTGCATTTAAATAAAAACGGAGGATAGTATACACTCGAAAAAAACAAATAAAACTGTCAAAATACTAAAAACCCTCTTATGATTTTGCTCCATTAACATTTTTAGCTTTTCAACTAATAAAGTCATTCATCATTTCGTGTATTATAAATATTAAATAAGGCATGAAAGCCAAAGAGCTTTTGGGTTGAATTTGAATTGGATTTGCAGAAAAAACTTTTATTTGTCTTAAATATTTCATTTTTGAGACATTTAAATTTTATTTGGTACGTTTGTTTGGCTTATATTCGCAAAATATGATTCCAATGAATCAGTTATATTAATACATTTGGTTTTGTAATACTGTAATATAATAATTTTATTTAATATAAAAAAATTATACCATGAAAGATTATAATTTATAGGGCCTTTTTATGAAATTCGATTCAGGCCCGAGTTTACCTAGGAACGGCACTGTAATCCAATTGAGATGTAACTTTTTCTTTAATTCAACGCATTTCTTTCTACTGCGTATATCTTTTTAAATCTGACATCATTAAGGGAGTGTTTGCAACTGCTTTTGCTTAAAAAAAGCACTTTTGGAGATGTAAGGAAAAAGTGATTAGTAGTAAAAGTTGATAGTGTTTGAGAAAAAAGTGATTTTGAAAAGTAAAAGTTGGTAGTGTTTGGTAAAATAAGTGCTTTTTGTGTAATAGAAAAGAGAAAAGCACTTATCACACGCAAGCCGAGAAAAAGTAAAAATTGATAGTGTTTGGTAAATAAGTGCTTTTTTTAAGCGGTTGCAAACACTCCTTAAGATTGATTTGACGGTGTTCTTTCTCCTGATTTGATCATTAGAACTTATGCATACTTTTCTTTTTCTCTTTTGCTCTTTGTCATTATACGGTGTCTACTTATGGTAACCCATCACACAAATAATTCAGGTTTGTCAAATTAGGTCACTAGAAAACATGTTCATATAAAGAATAACACCGAAAAATGTCAAAAAGGATCCATACCTCTCGGCAAATTGCAAAGATATAGGCCTCTATGTCGTGTATGTATACTTGTATAGTATGCATACAACTTGTTCGATGTTTTTGTATGTTGAATTTTATGCACGAATTTTACTCGAACTCGGGATAACCATGCTTAATTAAAAGTATTGGCAACAAGTGCATACTTTCACACTATAAATTAGAATGTGATTGTAACTAAGAAAACTGACCATTGATTCATAGAGCTCAATGACCATTATCAACTTAAATCACTCTTAAACTCTTACTCTATATATCAAGATTTTATGAAAATTTAATTATTTTTTGCAGACTTTGTAGCGGTTTTAATGTAGTTTTTGAATATGTAAATTTAATTTACTAAAAATAATCTGAGTTTTCACATGGATCATTTAACTTTATTGTTGGTCAAACTTCGTAATCCGCAATTGGAAGAACATTTAGGGACGGAGGGAGTATTTAAATTCTCCTTTAGTATATACTTTTGGTGTCTTAGGGTGTTTCTTCATTTGACATTTGACAAACAAAAAGACAGAACTTATATAAGAATTGCGCTAAATAGGAATACAGTTCAAATTGTAGCTAATTCCACAATATGATTGTCATATATTTTCCCAAAAAATAGTAATTATTGTCTTGTTTTAACATGACTGAATCTTTAAAATGATATTTCCTTCATCCCATTGGACTTTGTCAACTTTTCCTTTTTGGTTGTTCGAAAAAACTTTTTCATTTTCCCATTAAAACAACTAATTTGTGGTTCTGCACATTTCTCTCTCCTCTGCACAACTTTCAATCACACAATTTTTACTTTTCTTATTTTCCACCTATTTTGCACTTGGCAAAGTCCATCGGGACGGAGGTAGTAGTATTTATCAACTTGACAATAATTATCTACCCTCTTTGTTCCTTAAAACTTTGTCAACTTTTATTTTTGGGTGTCCACTAACTTTGTTATTTTCCCTTTTAAGTAAATACTTGTGGTTCCAGTTAATTCTCTCTCATCTGCACAAACTTCAACCACACAATTTTTACATTATTAATTCTCGTACCGGTCAAACTTGACAAAATTTAAGGGACATAGGAAGTATTTTTTTTAATACTCCCTCCGTCCCACTTGACGTGTCCTACTTTCCATTTTGGGTTGTCCCAAAATAAGTGTGGTCTTTTCTTTTTTGGAAAGAAATACGTGGCCTACACCATTTCACTTTATTATACTCAAACTTCAACCACAACTTTTATTTTTTTCAACTACTTTATTGATAATCATGTCAAGTCAAAGTGAGACACATAAAATGGCACGGAGGTAGTACTACGTAAGAAATAAAAGCATAACATAAATATTTTGGAATTTCAAAACCATTTTTATCTAGAATTTTGCCAACTTGTACTTCGTATATAATTCTCTCATTCAAAAAAGGATGACATTCCATCCATGAGGCCCCCAACACTAACCAGACTGCATGATGAGAAGATGTAAATTGGACTATAATCACAATTTGACAGATAGAGAGTGGAGCTTCGTCCCGAATACTTGCAGAGACCCTTTATTATTGAGTAACCCTCTCATGGCACTTACTGGTTTCGAACATGATACTAACCCTTTGGTAGTCATCGCTACCCGTTGAATCCTTCGCTGTCAGTTGAGCTAGACCACCTGTAACTCAAAAGTCAAAACTATCCACCCCAGAGCCGAACCTATATGTGAGGCCAAGAGGCAATTGCCTTAGGCCCACGATTTTGGGGAAAAAATTAGGGCCCAAAAATATATGATTTTCCTTTATATATATATACTCATAACTAGTAGGCCCAATTTCAATTTGCAACTTCCCAAATTCCAACTTCAAGCTTTGAAGAGGGGAGATTCTATTTGCAGCCTTCATTTTGCTAAATACAGCCCCAAAAATAAATAATTATAAATAATATTTAAGTCACCATTTTAACCTTGAGGAAAACAACCGCCCAGATGAGTGATGGCTCGGCAGCGCACCCCCACACCCAGTGACCTGGGTGAATGGTTTCCAACCAGTATCCGATTGAAGAACGACGGCCGGCGGAGGAGGAGCAAGAATATCTCCTACTCTCTTCCCAAAACGGAAGAAGCACTATTTGATTCGATGATGAACAGAAACCAGAGAGAAACCATCAATCTCATCTCACCCAATCCATTGTACGCTTGATTTGAATCTAGGTCTAGCTAATTAAGATCAGGACTATAACCAATTTACTGTAATAATAATAATACAATCACTCATATATACTAGCAGTAGCCTGTGCGGTCCTTTGAAGCGTGCCGGCGAACCAGCTTCAGTGCCGGTTGAATCTCATGATAAGGAGCGCTCTTCTAATCGATGTTTATTTTCTGTTTTTATTGTGGGAAATTGATTTTGATTAATTTGTTATTTCAATCAATTATTTGGACTTCATCAAGTAGGTATTCTTTTTGTAAATCTCCAGTTCATGTGCTTCATCTCCAATTCAAGATGAACGAGAGTAGAAAGAGATTTGTATGTAATACACATAGCCGAAGGGTAATATAGGTATATATAAAAAAATATTCTACCGATGGCTGTGAGTAGTAAAAGATGGGCTGCATATAGAATTCCCCTTTGAAGAGTTCTCCTGTCTAGAAGAGTCGAAAACGTTAATTCATTCCTTTCCAGAATGTAATCTCATTATTCTAGGTAAGTAATTAAGTATAAATGTTTTTAATGTTGCGGAGTATTTTTTATGGTGTTTGAGGACCAAAAAAATCTGAGGATCGGCCCTGTCCACCCCGCCCAGCTATGCTCTATCTATGACCCACTTGGCCACTTGTACGGGCCTTCAAACGAACTAGGTGGGAACTGGGAAGTGGGAAACTGGGGAATTTCAAAGAGTAACTGCCATTTTTTTGTTGCCAAACAAAAACGGAAGAAAAGAATAACCACCATGATTCTGGTGGTTTCCGGGAGTTACATGGGAGTAGTAATCATCTTCCTCGGGGCTTTATCACTGTCTCAAACCCATGTCTTTACCGACTCGAATTCTTCAGACGTTGGTCTCATTCTTGCTGCCGTGTTTTGCCCAAATTCTGTATTCAAATCCATCGTTCTTTTCAGGTATATATAACCAGCACTCAATTTGAAGGGCAAGAGAAAAAATAAGCTTGGCAATAGCACTTTTTGTTTTCAATTGTTCTGCAGAAGCAATCGGGAACTCGGAAAACAGGCTGAAGCTTCCCCTGGTGGGAGACAATGGACGGGTATACGTCTGCTCGGGAAGAAACTTTTTTGCGTTTGAAAGCAACGGTTCAATTGCTTGGAGTGTAGCTCTTAATCACACTTGCAGTCTTAAGATTGCTCCTGTTAATGGTGGCTCGAGAAAGGCAAGACCTTAGTTTTTTCCGTATGCTCCATAATCTGTTTTCAATCTCTTCCATTTCTTGTGAATATCTACATTTCTAGATTAAAATTGTTAGATGTGTTCATACGTTTTTATACTCCATCTGTTACTATTTGTTCCTATTTATCTGTATCATTATTGATCAAATCCAACCTTTTGAGATGATGCATTAGAGTGATAGATTTATTAATAAGAACTTTATCTGTGATACTAATTATGTACTACATATTTAATATGATTAGTATAATAAAGTTAAAATTTGGAAAAGAAAATATTCAAGAATAATTGTAGAGCATTAAATGATGACCACAATCTATAACTTTTCATCTTATTACTAGGTATAGGTTCTTTTGCTCTAGTGTTAAAGACGCTTTATTTTGGAGGTGTATATGATACCTGGGCTCTAGGAGGGGCAGATGTAAGAAAAGGGAGATGTAAGAAACATTACCAACTTGACCCTGAGTCCAAGTCTAATATTTGGTTATTTACTTAAATCTCCTTTTGGTGCTCACCAATGCCACAATGTGCACAGTGCATATGTGACATGAGAGAAATAGAAACATACTCGTAAATATTAGTAAGTTAAATATCTCTTCCTCATACGGACAACTTTATGTGTTTTTGGTAAGTTTTTCTTCAATGTCAAGAAGAGCATCTAGATATAGACATTTTGATTGACATTATTAATAAACAGTTACCAAAAACATACAAAACCATAGAAAAAAAGAGATATATCATCATCATCATTTTCATTTACCCCAGTGCCGCAAAGGCTCCCACCTACGGTGGGGTAAGGGGGGGTCGGATGTACGCAGCCTTACCCTTGTACTAAAGCACACAGATACTGTTTCCGGATGACCCATGGTGAAAATTGCATGGACTGACTGTTGCTTCATAACAAAGAAGCGCAGACAGTTCAGTGAGCCATTTTGCTTTATTCCATCATATTCTCAAGCCAAAAAATAATGAATCTTTGGCTCCATTGCAAATGATGAAAAAAAAAGAGATATATCATTTATTTATTTTTATGTGTCCATCTATCTCATGTCACACATGTTCTTGATAATGGAACATATGAATGTCTACCTAAAATGTCAACATTGAGTGTACCAATTTTTAAAATGTGAACATTTTATAAAATTACATGCAAAAGGAACAAACAGTTGGTCATTGCTAAATTAAAACCTAGAAAGTAAATGATTGAAAATGCTAGATGACTTTCAGGCTTAGCTCTTTGGATGCATCATCCACATGAAAATAAATCTACGTCCTTGCATGAATTAATATGTAAAATCATGAGCTGAAGGTATAATGATAATTTCCATACCCATGTTATTTACTTGGTACCATGGTAAACCGCAATATCCCTCTAAATAGCTTGTGCGGTGTTAGGAACTTAAGCACCTTGGAGAGCCACACCCCAAAAGCTAGCTGTTAAGGTGGGAGAGCCAGGCACTTAAGAACCCCACCAAGCATCCCATTCTACTCGGTGTGGGACTTTTGGTATCCCATTCTACCTAAGTCCCTAACATGCGGATATATGTGGTTAGAGACTTAGAGAGGATAAAGTATTGTCAACCATATGGTGTATAAGACATTGTGTTATGTGTGGTTGCAGATATATGTGGTTGCGGAAGATAGAGTTCTGAAAATCAACCCCTTAAGAATTGGGGGTTCGCAGTCTGCTGTACAAGTTTTCTTTGGGGCGAAACAAACAGGTGAAGAAAGCTGGGGAGAGATTGTCGGCATTGCCGTGAGCATATTCAGTTCTCGGGTCCTGATCACCATCAAAAGAAGAGGATTGTTTGCTTATAAGCTGCATGGGAAACTGGCATGGAGTGCTGGCCCAGTAAAGAACCAACATGGGTTTCGCCAAGGCTGCAGCAAAAACCTTGAAGACTGTTATTTCTCTTCTGCTCCTGTGGTTGATCATTGTGAAGCTCGTGCCTATGTCAGTCTTTTTATTAAAAATTACTCGTAGAAGAAATCCTCATTTAGACAAGCCTAGTTCCATATAGCCATTGGTCCCCATGGTTACCTACATTTTTTCTTGAGTTCATCCTTCCTACAGTGACGAGGCTACGGAAGTACGAGCCTATGGTTAAGGGGTCATTCGCCTCCATGAGATTCCGAAAACCTCCCAAGTTACTTTAGTAATTTACTAATTTTCAATAAAAAAAAGTAAAAATTGTAAGAAAATAAGAGTCATTATATGAATAGAAGATACATTTACTCTCTTATAATCTTATCCCCTTTTAAACTTCAATTTTTTTGCAAAATCCCTTATTGATCTTTCTGTTTTCTTTTAAGAAAGAATGTATGATTCATTCTTTTCATCCGTTGTTAAATAAATCTCAATGTACCAGCATTAATGAGGGAAGGAGTTTGATGTATTGTTACCATTAAATTTACTTAATCTTTTATAAAGTTTAGATTGATTGATATTTCCTCAAAACTGTAGTTTCATTTTAGATGATATATTGTGTCCTTGGCTTCGATATCATTCCATCTATTCATGTTAGCTGACCCCATGCTCCTTCGGGGACAAGACATGGATGTTGTTTGTCTGTTATATTATGTTTCTTTTTTAATTGCACATACACGGGTATGTGGGTACACCATTTTTTTTACAAAAGGTACACCATTTTTTTTTACAAAAGGTACACCATTTTTATTCAATTGGAAGTTCATTTATGAATATTTATCCGTCCAACAACTGAAGAGTTGAAGTATTGATTATAGGCAAACTCAATTATTTGTAATTATTTGATAAGTTTGAACTGATTCAATAAACTTTTGTAGTCTGTTTTCAAATAAGTCGCATGAGCCTTTTTTATTTGTAAATATTTTTACAAAAAATAACTGGGGTATCATAGCATCTTAAGTTGGGCCCTTTACCCATAATCTCTGTCTTCGTGTACTACCTATGTTCCGTTGATCCCGCCCATGCTACCCAATATACCGCCCTTCTAGCTTTGTTTAGATCATTATCCTATACAACTTCATACTGGAGTGACTTTCTCTATTTGTAGGTCCTGAATAATGGAGGAGAGCGTTATGCTGTTTCAATATACTGTCCTTCCAGGTTTTTTAGATCATTATCCTATTCAACTTCATATTGGAGTGACTTTCTCTATTTGTAGGTCTTGAATAATGGAGGAGAGCTTTATGCTGTTTCTACTAGCAGTCCTCATTTTCTATGGATAACGGATTTGAGCACATTTGGAAACATATCTGCAATTACTGCTGGGAATAATGGTTTGGTGTATGTTACTGTCCCAGATAAAGCTCTAATCCTAGCCCTAGACGCTTCCAGGGGGGAAATTTTGTGGCAAGGAAGTATTGGACCATTAAGTACTGCAGATTACACCCCCATCATTGATTCTAATGGTAAAAGAAAGTTATTCATATAAACTTATAAAGAAGTATTAATTGGAAAAGTTTTTCCAGTTTTGGTCCTTTGCCTATTGTGTCAATGACACATTTGTACTTGTCTTTGACTTTTTCTGTTTTAGTCTTTTCTAACCATTGTTACAGTGACACTTATAGTTCAAAAGTGTCTTTGTCAGAATAGCTGGAAAACTAAAAGTGTGACTTCCACATTTAGTCAGAGGACTAAATGTGGAAATATTTAGGCAAATACCCAAAGTGTCTCATGCGGGAATATGAAATTCACCCACTTCATTGTACAAGTGCCAAATGTGTCAATCCTAAAATAGTGAGAGGACTACAAGCTGGAAAAATAATCTTATTGGGAATATGAAATTAGCACACTTCAAAAGTATAGTTTACTGATGTACTTAGGTTGGGTTTCTGTCGGTTCTTTGGATGGTTTCGTGTATTCATTTTCACTGACGGGTGTGCTCAAGAAGTTCTCTACAGTGGGAGACCAAGACTCTGTCATCCAAGCTAGTCCTATCCTGGACTGCTCAGGTTATGCAATCTATGTTTCACAGACACTGATGGATGGAAAGGTTAGCCAGACAATTGGGAGTTACACTTACATTTCAGCTATGAAACCGAGATCTGTTACCTTTATCATGCTGGTTCCAGCCACTGGAAATTTGCTGTTGTCTGAGAAATACCCTGGTAATAACCCATATCTGCTTTCTTACTGCAGTTGCCCAAGAGTCGTAGCTCAAGTGGGGGAAAAGGATAGACATAAATATCCTGCCTTGCTTTGAGTGTTAGTGGGATTGAACTAAGTATCCTACTTAGGCGGAGGGGATCCCATGGTGTGGGATACATTATTTTGTATGGTCTCTCAGGCATTAAATGTTCATGTTCTTGGTGATGTCATAGGTCTGTTCTCATCTAAGCTGGTTGATAGTGATCTTAAGCATTTCATTTGTGATGAAAAGGTCATTCTAGCTTTTTTTGCTGCTTCAAGTGAGTAATTGAACTCAGATTCTCGGTCTTTCATGCCCATTATATATGAAGCAGTGACTAATAGAAAATCTGATTTCTTGCAGAGACTAATAACCCATTCCAATGCATTAGCACGCGTAATCACCCTACCACACCCTTTTGCATTTATTAGTCCTTTGTATCAGCCACCCTGTTGATCCTTTCTTGTTCTCTTTTCAGGTCAGAAATTTGCATACAGTTGCTCACAGATCAGACCTATGACCACTGACATTTACACGAGTAAGTAACTTCATATGCCTTGTTGACATTTGCAAAATGTGCTTATTTCACTTTTAATTGAATTCCTCATCTAAAGTTATGACCATATAAATATTTGAGTAGTTCAGTGTTTTATATGGTGTTTTCTATTTTTTTATTAAATTGGGTTTAACTAACTGCAAAAGGATATTAATTAACGGGATGATGAGGCTTACCACAAATTTATATACGAGTATTAGATATATATTTGGTAAACATCTAATGTGGTGCACTTAAAAGCACATGGGCTACTTGAGGCGGATAAATAGGCTAAAAAGCCACAAAGATAAGCATAACCATGAATGACAAACAAACAAATAAACAAATTCAATAAAACAATCAAATTGGGTACTCAATGTGACTCTGATGCCATATTAGACCGTGGTGCAAGAGTCCAAATGTCAAAAATGGACTCCGTCCATATGAAAACAGTGTTTTGACTCCTATTTTTCTGTATTCCAGCACCGTCAATAAAATACACTCTGCACATTTTTTTACATATCACTTTAGTAAAACATTAATTAAATTATCATAAGTAATGTTAACCTTTTAATTTTTTCTCTGATTAATTATAAAATAAAAAAGACACATTTCGATGTAAAAAAATTGAATATCATTAATATTTTTTCTGTTCAAAACAGTTTCAAAATCATCACATTCTATCAAATTGTTTTTGTTTAAATCCTACCATTGTGGGTGCTTAGTGACACCATCACAACGTCACTATGATGTCACCCTATTCCATTAATTCTCTGCGCCATTCTTCTCCAGCAGGCCACACCTCCCTTTTTCCTTCTGCGCACGGTTGACATCCGCCCTCTTTCCCCTTTTCTATTTCTTTTTCAATTTTTTTAGGCTGTCCAAATTCCTCCAAATATAACCCCTTCCCTCCCCAAACCCACTTTTAATACCCTCCTCAATCAACCAATGCATGAAATTAGGAGTCCAAAATTGTCACTTTTAGCATTTTGGACTCCTAATACCTCACCACTCCAAATGGTCTTAAGGGGTGTTTGGAACTGATTCTGCTTCTGCTTCTTTTTTTAAAGCAGAAGCAGAATCAGAATCAGTTTTCAGAAGCTGGTCCCCCAGCTTCTAAAAAAACTGATTCTAAGAGTAAATTAGAGCACCACTGCACCAGAATCACTTCTGCACTTTCACCCAAACACTCCAACTTCTGCTTATGCTCCCTGAGGAGCAGAATCAGTTTTAAGAATCAGATCCAAACACCCCCTAAATTGGATCTAATTTACTCTAGATATAAAAATCTGACTCTAGAGGGCAATGAAATACTCCGTATGACTCTATACACCTTTTAGATAAAAATCTGTTAAACGTCTGAATCTGAATCATATATGTATTAATTTAGTGGATGTGTGGTTTATCCCTTAATGCATTCCTCTTGTACGATTCAGGTAATGAGAGGGCAATTGTCTTATTTCTGTGGTTTGAATCGGCTTTGTTACTAGTTTTGGCTGCACTAGTAAGATTCTGTTGCATCTTCTGGAAGAAGAAGAAGCTCCAAAGTCGACAACTTGGAGGATTCCTAGAAAAGAGAGTAATGCTTTGATCAAATTCACAGTGAATTTACCCCTCAACTTCAAAGTGAATTATCTTGTAACTCGTTTCATTTTTTCTTATTCGTTAGCGCTCTCTTCGACTCCAGAAGAAAGCATATGACAGGACAATATCTGAGCTTGAGCAGAAAGCTGCAAAGGAAGCGGTAAGGCATGAAATGATAGAACAGCTAGGGGATTTAATGAAGGAAAGGGAAGGCATAGAGAGGAAGCTCTCAACAACATATAGCTTTGGAAGAGATGAAACCACAATCATGAGAGGTGAAAAAGATTAACTGATTATAATTTGGCTCTTAATATCATACTAGTATATTGGACTGATGGGAAGAGTAATGATTCCCCATCACTCGCAAAAAGAGAATCGTATTTAAATTTTAAAGTACGTCGTATTTGAAAATATGGTCATGCTTCTCAATGGTCGCATATTTGAACAACAAAGCTATTTCACTTTATATTTATTATTACGCTTTTTGTGTCCAAAAAAATGTGCAAACAACTAACTAGTTAAGTAAGCCAAATTTAGTTGAACCAATCACATAAAGTTTAAAATATAGCTAGAATTTATGATATAAAAATCCCCTTTGTTGTACCTTACTAAAAAAAATTACATTGACACAGCTCTTTTTTTGGGTGGGGTGGCACATAATATTGAGTCAAAGTCTCACGGAATGAATAGGAGAGAGATAAATTAGGATAGCTAAAATAAAATAAAAAAAGCTACATGAATCATGTATAGTAAAAGTGGTAGTACTATTAAATACTACTCCCTCCGTCCCAAAATGGTTGGCCAATATTGACTTGCACGTGGATTAATAAAGTAAAAACTGTGTGGTTGAAATTTGTGCAGAGGAGAGAGAATTAACTTTAGCCACATATTCCTTACTTTAAATGGAAATGGCCAACCTTTTTGGGACAGCCAAAAAAGGAAATTTGGCCAACCATTTTGGGACGGAGGGAGTATAATAAAAATGACCGTCGGTGCACATTGGGGTCCCCACAAGGTGAGGGTCCCAGGAAGGGTCCCACCAGAAGGGTGGGCAGAGGCAAACATTCCCTTGTCATTTGACAAGAGGCCTCTTCTAAGACTTGAATCAGTGACTTCAGAGCAACACTATAACCAGGGCGCCAAGGTTCCCCTTCAATATTCAAAACTACAATACATTAAAAAAATGAAATAACATATTTCTCTAATATGGAAGGTTCAAAATCACTGCTTCCTTTATCTGATCGAACAACTCGGAGTTACTCTTTTCAAGACGGGAACAAGGAGAGCATCACTCTCTTTCACACTGGCAGTGGTGCTTCGTCTAAAGATAGTGAGTCTGAACTTGCTGAAACCTGGATTTGCAATGATGATGATGATGAGATTTGTGAAGATGAAGAGTATGAAGCAAGTCCATCAAGCTCTAGTTCGAGTTCACATGGAGTTACGGAGGCAACATTGGATGAAAAAGGGGAAGGGGTGTCACATCAAAGTGTTTTGAAGCGTAGGATGAGATTTTTGTCATCATCAAGCAGCTAAATTTATCGTACTTGAAAATCACATTGCATTGGAGTAAATATCTTTATTTTGCGTTCTGTATTTGATTGAGATTAGAATGTTCCTTTCTTTAGCTTCCCATTGTAACTTTTTTAAGTATTTTAAGTTATCTACCTCAGGTCTCCCAAAGTTTGATGGTTACGTCATGATACATGGTACTAGTTTTTGTAACGTGTGTTGCGCGATTGGCATGGTGCCCATTTTATGTTGTCTTTAGTCTATACACAGCTTTACTAGTGCAATTTCCTTTCATCAAAGGTTGTTCTCTAAGACGCTTGTCTTAATGTGACGCTTTTGATCGGGCTTCATGAATTGTTTGAAATGATAGTAATGACACCACATAATTTTAGCCTCATGAATTGTTTGTAATGATAGAAATGACGCCACATAATTTTAGCCTCATGAATTGTCTGTAATGATAGAAATGACGCCACATAATTTTAGCCTTGTGTGTTGCATTTCTTGACCAATGATTGTATATAACTCACTAATATTTTAGTCATAATTTTATGATACACATCGAGGTTGTCATGAGAGTTGGCATGATGGCTCTTTTAATTTGTAAACTCTGAATACTACCCCAATACAGGGAAAAATCTTACTTTGAATGGAAGGATAGACATTATGTACGAAGAACATTTTATGGGTCAAGCTTTTGCATTTTGAATGTCAAGCCCTAAGTTTTTTAACTTGCTTCTAGAGGCTTAACATCAGTGATGTGAAACTTTTTCTCACACTTCAAGTAGGGGTGGATTTGGGTCGGGCCACCCGGCCCGCTACTGTGCGGGACCAGGACCGGCCCGGTTCTCAGGGCCGGGTCCGGGTCAGGCCTAGGCCCGTGGGGAAGGGCGGGTCCGGGCTCGGGTCGTGGTTTTGGCGAACCGGCCCGGCCGGGTACCGGGCCTATTTTATTTTTTATTTTCAATTTTTTTTTTTACTTTTTGGGTTGGGCTGGGTATTTTGGGCCATTTGGGGTGGTTTGGGGTGGGGGGTTGGGGGTTAACTGGGAAAAGGAAAAAAATAGCAATTACCCGAGGCCCGGCCCGACCCGGTCCCGGGACCCCCATTCCTGAACTGCCGGTTCGGGCCTGGGCCCGTGGGGAAGGGCGGGTCCGGGCTCGGGTCGTGGTTTTGGCGAACCGGCCCGGCGGGTTCGGGCCGGGTACCGGGCCTATTTTATTTTTTATTTTCAATTTTTTTTTTACTTTTTGGGTTGGGCTGGGTATTTTGGGCCATTTGGGGTGGTTTGGGGTGGGGGGGTTGGGGGTTAACTAGGAAAAGGAAAAAAAATAGCAATTACCCGAGGCCCGGCCCGACCCGGTCCCGGGACCCCCCATTCCTGAACTGCCGGCCCGAGCCCGAACTGGCCCGGCTCCACCCCTAACTTCAAGTAATTGAGCTTGAATCTGCCTTCTAAAATATTGACATCTGCAATCGTGTGTTTCTTGTAAAGCTTTCTCAATCTACAAAAACAAATTATTAACACTGAAATAAGCACATCACTTAAGAATTGAAAATGCACCCAGCTAGGAAACAAAAAAATAATTACATTGTGGAAAGATTAATGAACTTTTTACCTAAGCCAAAATCAAATCTAGACATAAAGAAATGAATATAAAGTCACTACATGTAGCCAAATTAGTATGAGTAGTTTGAATGAATAGACCATTCAATAACTTTGTTTCCATAGCCCAAAAATTTATAGTAATTGCTACCAATAGGAGTAAAACATAACACATTTTCCTAAATAGGAGTTAACTCCTAATCTTCCCCAAATAGGAGTAAACATTATTTCTTTTACCCATAATACTCCTATTCTAATTAATTATTGCCCTTGGTTCCCTTGGGCAACCATGACAGTCCGCCGGTGGCGGGGCAGGGCGTTGGTAGGGGGGCATTCCGGTGGTGGCAGACAACGGCGGAGCTCCGGTGACCGGCGGAAACCCATATTCTAATTAATTATTGCCCCCCTAGTTCCCTTGGGCAAACAGGGCAGTCCGTCAGTGGCGAGGTAGGGCATTGGTAGTGGGGGCAGTCCGGTGATGGCGGTGGCAGACGGCGGCGGAGGTCTGGCAACTGTGACGGTGGCAGGAAGAATGGGGGAATCTGGAATTTTTTACCACGCCAGAGCTCCAGAAGCGGGGGCGGCAGTCCGGCGAACTCCAATGGGCAAAGGTATTGTAGCAGCAGGCAGCACCAGGCATCAGGCAACAACAATGGCAGGGGCATCCTTGTCCATTTAGAAAAAAATACTCCTATTTTGGGAATTTATAAACTCTATTTCTATTTTTGCACAACTCCTATGTTATACTACTCTTTTGGTAATTGTCTCAAAATCCATGTATCTCTTCTTCTAGTAGTAAGCTTTTACCTTTGCACCACTGCTTAAACTTTTAAGTACACCTATGTCATTTCAGAAATTTGCTCTTAGCAACGCTCCAGACTTGAACACCTAGTTTTGCATGTTGTTTATGTTGAGTGTTTGATATGACAACAACCTTTTCTTATTCATAACTTTGGTTTAACTTAATGAGTTTTGATTCGATTCAGTCAATTCATAAACTGATGATAAATATTAACTCCAAATACTTTATCATGCCAAAATGTCATACATTTTTGTTTGACATTAAAAGGGCAAGGACCAGCCTAACAACATAAGTATTAAGGCGGATTGAAGTGATTAACAATTAAATAATACAATGCAATTAACCAAAAAAGTGTTTAATTGAGAGTTACATTATTTTTGTACAAGGTCTAAAAAAGTACAATGGAATATATACATAATATATACACCACTTTTGAGCTTATCATGCTCATCACCAATTTTTTACAGCATTTACTAATATGTAATTTATTTGATCATTAGAAATAAATTTATTGACAATGTAAAAAGTATAGCACAACTCAAATTACTTCTCTTTTTGGCTTAAATTCCTTAAGATGATTATCTTAGCATCTTTTTGGAATGTTATTCTCCTTATTCTATAACTTCAATAGCTTTTTTAATAGATAATTTGTCACGCCCCGGACCTACCGGACACGTCAACAACCCGCCGTACAGTACGAATAGTCAACCGCAGTCCAACTCATCCATACTATACTAGGCGTCATGAATATCATTCACAATAGTACATCCATAAACAATCATAATGCAAAATATTTAATCAAGCAGCGGAAACGTTAATACAAATATCCATGCCACACGTGGCAAACACGGGCGTACAAGCCCCAATAAATATTCAAATAGTATCCATGAGCAATATTTAAAATGTTTTCAAAACAGGAACGGAAGAAGCACGAACCACGTCTCCTCCCTTGAATCTCCCCGAAGCAACGGCGGCGGTAGCAACCTTCAAGTCCTACCTGAAACTGTGAGGTGGCCTCCCCCGTGAAGGGGAGGTCAGTACTTGGAAGCATTTGACAAGTACAATGACAACTATACTAAGTATAATCAAAGTTTCAATTTCCAAGACCCTCACATAGGGTGATAATATAATATAGGTCGTAACCCGTGGTTACCCTCTTTGAAAATATACTTACTTTATATATAAAGTCAAGTGGTCGGCCCGAAGACCCATGTTTTACTTTGAAAACGTTCAACCCTTTCCCCGTGACTTCAAGCCACGCCCATCTATATTAATTCACCATGCTAGAGGCTTCCTCTAGTCATGTTTTGCCGTGCTAGAGGCTTACTCTAGTCACTAAATTCGGTGTTAGAGGCTTCCTCTAATCACCTTACATACTTTGTGCTGGAGGCTTCCTCCAGTCACATTACATTATGCTAGAGGCTTCCTCTAGTCATCCTACACGAATGCTGGAGGCTTCCTCCAGTCATTCTTCATCGTGCTAGAGGCTTCCTCTAGTCACGATACTAGTTCGTCCTACACGAATGCTGGAGGCTTCCTCCAGTCATTCTTCATCGTGCTAGAGGCTTCCTCTAGTCACGATACTAACTCACTAGCAAATTCTATGCCTAGAGTTCCTCAACCTTGAGTAGCCAATGAGGCCTACTCCTAATGTAACTTAGTGGTTACCCATTCCTACCTTAAGGCATCTCATAAGACTACTTAAGGTGCATCCTTCACAATCTAAGTCCTTAGGATTTGTTCTATCACTTTTTATACAACATTCCCGATTAGTAAATTAAATACTAATCCATAAATCTTTAAACAGCCAAGCTCCTTAACTCATAGTTACAAGGCTCATTCCTATGGATTTTCGAATCCGTATACGATTTAATCTCAATATCAAAAATATCACTTTTATCCATTCATGATTTCTATACATGAAGTAAAAGTATATTTTATCACAAAAATTCATGGTTTATACAATCATTATACCTTCACATTTATTATGCATCATCATACACAATTTCTCATAAATTTGTATGTTATGCATCTTCTATTCACAAACAATGATATTTTCATTTAGGCATTATTAATCATTAATAATCCATGAAAATCACATTTAATTACTTTAGGTAATCTTGTGAAATTAACCCAAAGATTATAAGCAATATAGTCAGCCATCCTCACCTTGTGATGTGCTACAATAGTTGCCTTTGCTAAGCCCCTCGATCAATCCCCGTTCTAGGCCGATTGAAGGCAAAAATCCTGGACAGTAGCCCAAAGCCGGGCGGCTTTCACCCAAAGCCGGGCGGCTTTCGTAGTCTGCAGCTACGAACAGCTTCCTTCAGGTGGCGGTTTCCGGCGATTTCAACTCCTATCGATTCCACGACTCTTCTAAGTTAAATACCACCACTAAATAACAATATTATACACTTTTAAACGTGTATAACTCATGGTTTAATCCACCATTTGATTTCTTAAAAATCATACAACAAAACTAGTTAAAAGATAAGAGTTGTGTTCTTACCTCTTCTTCTAGTTGTTTTCTATTGGATTTCCTTAGCTTCTTGCTTCCTTCAAGCCTTGGATGATGTGAGGACTCCCCTTGAGCTCTCTCTCCCTGGCTGGTTCGAATGGATGCCAATGATAGGAGACAACTCCTCAATCAATTGGAAGATAATCCAAGGAGTAGGACATGGGGGTATGGGCATTTGTCTCAATGAGACTCCCCTCATGCCTAGCTCGCCCCTCCCCTTATTTCCTTGTCCCCTCCCCATTATTTGGGGTTATTTGACTGATGGAATATCCCAAGTGGGTGTAGGAAGTCCCTCCCGATTATTCCTGCTATTTTT